TATGAACTACAGCAAGATGTCAAATGATAATATTGAAAATACAAACGGTTGGACAAAGCACCTCTCTACTACCAAAAATACAGTAAAAGCAAAGTTTCTGCCAAAAACAAGCAATTGTGTTAAGATTAAAAATTCCATCCCTTCAATAAGTGTTTTATTTGAGTGTTCTTTCTTGAAACTTGTTATCCTCCAACACCATTATGAACAGATTTTCCTTCAGTAAAGGAGCACATAAAGTACTTGGAAACTCCAGAACAGCTGATATTTTGCTTTTAAAGTGGCTGCAAAGTTTCTTTGCAATTCAGTGAAAATTGAATGGAAAAATAGATGAAAATTTTCTATGTACTCCCAAAAGCCAACATGGCACGGCTTTTAAAATCTTACTTGTTAGATTCTAACTGTAAGTAGCGATTACTAGGTTTAAAGAAAAGTTGTGAGTTCAATACTGTTCTCCAATTTTGTTTCCCATTTAAAATTCCAAGAAAATTAAATTTACCAAGTTTTGAAACAGTTTAATTCTAAAAGACAGAATTAAGCTGGTAAAAGGTTTGTAGCAGCAAAACAGTATAATTGTACTGTTTTTCATGTCTGACACACAGTTGTAATTTGTGACTCTTTCTTAGACAGCCAGAGTTCAAGGAGAGCAAAATGAACGAGAATAATCAAAAAGATAGGTCAAAGATTACGAGAATCCCATCAGATTGAAATGATAAACAAAACTAGTTTGACTGGTTTGGTGTCTATGGCATACCGTCATGCCTTTTTCCTTGGCTTAAATTTTCTCCTCTCACCCACGAAGCAAAATTTCTTGCTGAATATAAATCCATGCATGCCAGCAGATCCAATTATAAAGTCCACAAACAATTTTCATCAGGCATCATAGGTAGTTCCAAAACTGGCTCTGTAAACCACATCCATTAACTGAAGGCAATTCTGTTGAATCAAACCTGTATACTCAATTTGCTCCCAGTATTGTGAGCTTCATTAAATTTGTCTGCATTTATTAAACTCCACCCTAATGGTGATCCATCCTAATCACTATCTTGAGAACTGTTTTGGTGAACTACAAAACAAAGACGTCCAGACGCAGTGCAGTTATTCCCAATTATTGCTACAGCGACTTTAAACCAAATATTCATGAAAATTACTTTAATGATGTAAATAAAGTATTGTATACTTGATGTTTTGTTCCTTGCGTCTCGACAAACCTAATCCCAAAGCTTTGTGTGCGTTACTCTTATTTCACCCACCTCACTGCCACTGCCTCCAGGGTCAATTTTGTCCATTTGACCCACTTCCTACTCCCTTGACTCTCTTCCCATACACAGCTGATCTCTGAACAACCCCTTTTCATCCTCTTGTTGGGTGAAAACTGCTGTCATTAGCCCTTTCCACAGAACCCAACCGTTGGCTCCACGTTACAATAACCATCCTCTCTGTATTCTCCTTTTATAGGATAACAGAATTTCACAGTAAAGAGGCACTTGGGCCCAGAGAGTTTGTACCACCAAAAATACACAACAACTACACTAAACCCACGACCCTGCACAAGCCCCATAGCCTTGAATATTACGACACTTCAAGTACTCATCCAATTACTTTTTGAAGGTTTTGGAGGTTTCCCACCTCAACTACCCTCCCAGGCAGTGCAATCCAGACACTCATCATCTGGGTAAAAACATTTTCCCTTAAACCCTCTCTAAATCTTTTGCCTTTCACTTTAAAGTTGTGCCTCCTTGTTTTGACCCTTCAACCGAGGGGAGCAGTTGCTTTCTATTCACCCTGTCCATGCTCCTCCATCTTGTACACCCCTACTAGGTTCACCCACAACATTCTCTGCTCCAAAGAAAACAGCCAAATCCTTGAAAGATGTGATTTTTTTCCCCCAAATCAATTCCCAGATTTCTTGGAACTCCATGCTGGAATACCCCAAATCAAGATTTTAACTCTACCACAGCACCAAATCAAAGTCATAAAAGGTAGCCTATATGATTCCTTGAGCTGTCTGGAGCTTTTAACGTGGCTGAGCACACCATTCTTCTCTTCACCATCATCTTGCGAGGTAGGCTGCTCTCATGCAGTTGCATTCTTATCAATCTAAGCACAGCCAAAGAATCCAAGGTTTTGGAGTAGATTTGGCACATTAACCTTTTGCTGGTTGTGGGTTTTGGGTTGTGGGTGTTGAGGTTGGTTGGCTCGCCGAGCTGGTTTCTTGTTTTGCAGACATTTCGTTACCATGCTGGGTAACATCCTCAGTGCAGCCTCCGATGAAGCATCGGTGTGTTCTCCCACTTAGTTTTTAAACTCTGGGGTCTGCTGAGATGGATTGCCTCACTTCCGGTTTTCCTTCATAGTGGAATGTATAAGGGGTCGAGCTAAATATGTTTATTAATACCATGTTTCGTGGCTTCTAGGCTTCTTGGAATTCTCGTGCCTGTCTCTGCCGAGCTTGTCCCAGGATTTTGGTGTTGTCCCAGTCGAAATGGTGGTTCTCCTTGTCCATGTGGATTTAGATGAGTGAGTACTGGTCGTGTCTTTTTGTAGCCAGTTGGTGTTCATGTACTCTTGTTGCTAGTTTCCTTCCTGTTTGTCCGATGTAGTGTTTCTCACAGTCACTGCAAGGGATCTTGTAGATGACATTGGTCCTGTCCATGACAGGGAGTGGGTCTTTAGTTTGGGTGAGCAGTTGTCGTAGGGTTGATGTGGCTTGTATGCCACTCTGTTGCCCAGCAGTCGTAGGAGTCTTGTGGTGAGTTCTGACGTGTTCCTGATGTAGGGTAGTGTGATGAGTGTGTCGGGGCGTGTAGGTACTACAAAGTGAACAAATTGTCTTCTCCTCAAGTATATTCTATCTGCCAAAAAAAACTCACGCTCTTGGCCTCACCATATCCTAATGATGAATCCTTGCTTACTCCTCACAACTCTCATCCTCACCTCAATCTGCAACTTGGAAATATTACATTTACAAAATATGTGTAAAATGGTCATTTTAATACAACTGCACATGTGCAGATGCACTTGCAACACACAGAGATTGTTTAGCTCTGTCTACTGCTGGTTGTGCTCTATAGTATACAAATAATTTTCAACTATAGCTTCACCAGGTTGAAACCTCATTTTTGGGCATGTCGCTCTATTGAGCTAGGGCTGACCTCTCAGCTTCATGATAATAGAAGGTCTCGGTCAGCGTAGTCAGCAGTTGTGCTGCTAAGCCAGTCTTGATGGTGGACACTGAAATCCTCCCCTTCCAGAGTAAATCTTGTAATCCTTGCCACCCTGGATGCTTCATTCAAGTGATCTTCAACATGGGAGACTCATCAGCCCATTGTGGGGGCAGGGAAGATATGTGGTAACCAGCAAAAGGTTAATGTGCCAATGCTTCACCCGATGCCATGAAATTATATGAGAACTGAAGACATCATCGAGGACTCCAACAGCAATTTCTTCCCAACTGTAAACCACTATGCTGCCAGCTCTGGTGGGTCTGTCCTGTTGTTGGGACAGGACATATCCATGGTTGGTGACGAGGATGTCTGGGACAATTTTGTACAAGCCCCAGATGTTGATTGGTGTGAACTTTGTACAGTCAACAGAGCTGTGTTTGTTGTTATTTCCAGTGCCTAGGTTGTTCTCGGTGGTCTTTCTGGTTTTGCTTCTTTCTTTACACTTCATAGTGTTTTGATACAACTGATTGGCTTGCTAGGCCATTTCAGGCAGCAGTCAAGAGTCAACCACATTGGTATGATATTGGATTTCAGGAAGTGAAGATGCTAACTCATATTAGGGAAACAAAGGTCAAACCAGAGCATATTTGGTATTAATGCTTCAATATGCATAAACAAATCAAGATTGGTGGGTTTTTGTTAGAACTGCTCACTGTTCTAGCTTCAGTTTCGAAGACAAAAGTCAACAGGTTCAATGTTTTTTCAATCCACTTTCAGTCCTGCCCTCCTGTACTTGAGGTGACATCTGACCAAGGCTGCAATTTCCATCTTCACACTGCCTCGTCAACTTTTTACAGCCTTCCCCTATATAATTGCCAAAATTACAAATTCTGCAGTCAGGCCTTAAACCTGAAATATCCACAGGTACTTGTGTCAACATGCAGCACTATCACACCGAATAAAATAAATAAAACAAAATATAAAATGCTGCCTTCAAAGTACTTTATGAACTATACTGTCAAACTAAAGCATGATAGCATTTTAAGAATTCTGTGATGATTCCATGACTAAGAGGTGTATTTTGTCCAGGCTTTTTTTTTGGAAGAGGTTCTGAACCATAGGGGAAGAGATGTATCTTCCAAGCTAATAAACAGCTTGAGAGGCCTCAAGGTTTTTTTTAAAAAAGTTGGAACAACAGATGCAGCATGAATGAGTGGAGTCAAGCTTCCACAGAACGAGGATTTTAGTTTAGCTTTTAGCAGTTGCTGGGTTTTTGAAGCTGCTACGTCTTTCTTTCTGTTGCAGCTAAAGCTTGGGTTCTCTTCCTGCTGCCAGGACTGTATGTGAGATAATCTGTTTAACTGCATTTGCCTTTGCCAAGGGTTTACGGGATGTTACAATATTGGAACAGTTACTGTTTACCAGTTAAATAAACTATTAGTTGTTATTGCAAGTTTTCCTTCTTTGTAGGGTAAGAATGAAGTGTTTTTTGCTTAAAGCCAAGTAGTGTAATCAATCGAATTACATCTGGAATACAGCACCTTACATTTGCCCTTAAGAAAAAGTTCGTGTCTAGGCTATCTCTATGTATCTGAAAAGGGTTCAGTCGAGTCCCTAACAATTCGGAGCAAAGAATTTTGAATATGGAACTAGCCTTCTAAAGTCAGCCAATAACTTAACAGTACACATGCACTTTTTCAAATATTAACTTAATATTTATATTGTTTGCAGTTAAAACATCTAATGGATGTAATGTAATCAATATAATTGCAAAAATTTCATTTCTATGCAAGATTCCACTCAAGTATGGAAAATTAATTTACAGGGCAGTTTTACCTTTTCACTGCTCTTATATTTGTCCCAGCTTTTCAGCATTTTCAGCCATTTTCCTGTTCTTTCAATCTCTACTTGTTTCAGCTGTAAAATGCAAATCAGCAAACTGTTACTGCAGATATTTAAAAGTGGCAGACAAGACAGAATGACTCACTGATAAACAAGTTGTATACTGCCAAAATGTTATAGACAATATCATATGAACATCCACTTTGTTGCTTCACCTTTATCATGTAGTTCTTCAAGGTGATTTGAGTATAACTTATGGAAGCTTATTATGTAGTCTTCCAAACAGGGTAAAGCAAACTTGGTATTTTTCACAAGCTTTTGGACCCTTTGATTTTCAGTACTGAATACTAGATTGATAAAAACTGGGTGGCTACCATATTGATATTGAAGGGTGAATTGAAATGCAAATCAATGGAAGGGAAAATCACAGCAAATTACTTGCAATTTCCTACTGAGAAGAGCTACTTGCAAATCTCAATGGAAGATTGGAGCCTTGTGAATGTAAACGTCCAGTTTCACAATTTTAGTTCTACAGACTATTAATAAAGTTATTCTGATTAATTAAAAAGCATGACATAGTATTTGCCTCAGATGTCCATTTAAATGGTCAACCTAGAACATCTAACGTAACCTCTTCAATTTCCACACATTCTAACAGTTATCTGCCTTTTTTGCCCTTTTGGTCTGGTAACGTATTAAGAAACTTAAATAATCTCTCACAATTCTAATCCTATCTCATTTCACCTGCTAATGAAAACCTCATCCATGCCTCTGTCAACTATACATGTAACGATACCAATGGTTGCCTGGCCACGTTTGTCATGCTTTATAAACTTCTGCACATTTAAAAATATGTTGCCTTTATCCTTCCCCTGAACCTCTAACACCCCTGTTATCCCTGATCTCCATAAACTACATTGGCTTCCAGTACAAGTGAAGATTTTCTTCTGTTTCATATCCCTTCATAGCCTCTCACCACCTCAGTATTGAATAGTCCATAGTTCTATAATACCCTCTCAATTCTGATTTTTCCTGATTGTTGCCTCATCCCCCAATCCTGTACATCCCTTCTCTATAACCTGCCACGAACTTGCCTCCACGTCCGTGCAGTGAGTAGTGGACAGTATAGGTCAGAAAAATTCCAGAGTATTTTGATCTCAACAGGGCTACTGTGGTGTTGCAGTTGATATTTAATCAACTAAATTATTTTAATATTGAGAACCTAATGATAAATTCCCTAAATGTCTTAATACACGGCCTTAACAGAATTCTGCACAAACAGCTACAAATGAAACATATTTTGTCAATTCTGAAGAAGGGTCACTGGACCTGAAATATTAACTCTGCTTTCTCTCCATAGATGCTGCCAGTACCTGCTGAGTTTCTCCAGCAATTTCTGATTTTATTTCATAATTTGGCTCCTGACTGGTTTGCAAAAATAATACGCTTAAAGACATATATACTGTTCAAAATTCTGAACATTTATTAGGGATTAATTTTGAAACTTTAACATACAGATTTTATGAACTAATGTGAAAATTACCCTCTGCCACTTCATAATCTAACTTTTTAAAAAAATCTGCTACTGCACCAAATTTATTCCTACATGCTTGTTTCCATCATATAAATGGAGCTATAGCCTTTCAAGAAAGGAAGAGCAAACATTAAAATTATGTTTCAACTTACTCTTTCTTCTACAGCATCAGGCATTGGCAACTCTTTCTCACTGTTACAAAAGGAAAACAGGCTTCAATATTCAAACATGCAATGCATAATTCATGAAAGCAAATCAAGCTATATTTACTTTTTCACTGCACCAACATTTTAAAATAACCTGAATTTCTACTTACAGAAATCAAGCACAATTACTGAAATAAAGATTTGGCCAACTAAGCTGTCAAAAGTGCATCTGAAGCACTCTACAGTGCCAGTAAAATGTATTATCATCATTTTAGTTTATGCTACAACAGCAGAGTAGCAAAACCAACATTACAATTCATTTTAATCAGAGATAGACAAATTGGGCTATCAAAATATGATTTTAGAGTTTCAAATTAAATGTAACACTTCCACACTTTGAATTAAAAATTTATTTATTGTAAAGACAGTGTCTTTTTATTTTTCTGTACTTTCAAATGGTGGACCGAAGTGAAAAAATTAACTGTTTTAAACTCAAGGATTGCTGCATGCTTTGAAAGTAATATGACACTCGTCGTAAACATCGTTGACAGAGTTGCTGATCCCAGCAGTCACTGGAGCGTGGTTTGCAAATGAGCTGGAGCTTAATGGTTGGTCTATGGCTTAATGACCAGTTAACAATGACAAAGGCCTTCTGCTTGCCAAAAACTATGTGATTAGTTCTTGGGCAGCTGAACAGCTTCAGGCTATGAACAATACACAGAGAAGCCTTCAGATCTCCACCATTTCAGGAGCTCTCTCTGCAAAAACTACTTTAAGCCTGAAGAAAACCAGGTGATCTTTCCTTTGCTGTAAACTCAATATTCAAATGTGCAATGCATAATTCATGAAAGCAAATCGAGCTATATATACTTTTTCACTGCACTAACATTTAAAAATAAACTGAATTTCTACTTACAGAAATCAAGCACAATTATTGAAATAAAGATTTGGCCAACTAATCATTCATAAGTCAAATCTTTTACAAGTAGCTAGCCACACTGGGCCTTTTGTTAACCTGTGAAAGTATCCAAAAACAGGAAGATCAAGAAACATCCGACAAGCACAAAAAACATATCAGCAGACACTATGAACAGAAACCACTGAATTGCCTTCCCAGTTTTTCCTCCATCCATAACATCCATGTTTTATTTCTCCTGTGTGTATAAAGGAAAGTTTATAAAGGCATTAGAGTTTTAACTAGGAGAGAGATATGGTGATGGTTCATAATCATAGAATCCCTACAGTACAGAAAGAGACCATGTGGCCCGAGTCTGCAATGACCCTCTGAGCAACTCACCCAGATCAAGCCCTCCACACCATCCCTGTAACCCTGCACTTATCATAGCTAATCCATCTAGCCTAGCTATCCCTGGACACTAAGGGCAATTTAGCATTGCCAATCTACCTAACCTGCACATCTGTGGATTGTGGGAGGAAACCAGAGCACCCAGTGATCGAAACACACTGGCAAGGCAGTAACACATCCAATCCCAACTCACCTTGAAATACACTGCCGCTTTAAAATATAGTCCATTCTCTGACCAACTAACAAACATATATTTAGCAGGTCTGTTCCACTTTTCCAAGTGTTTAGATTATTGACTTTTGTGAGAAAGCGAATGTTGTGATTTTGCCCGAAGTGATTCAAGACTTATTTTCACCAATGTACAACATTGTGTTTTTTAAAATAAAATATTGCTACAGCTTGTTAATCTCTTGTGCACAAGAATTGTTTCTTATTTCATACAGGCGCTCATAGGGTACTAGAATTGGGTCAGAGGAGCAGAAGCAAAAAAAAACCTGTCAGAAAATTGATTCAAGACAGAGAAAAGAAAATAGAGAGATGCTGCTCAGTCATTCCAGTTCTTTTCAACATATTTGAACTGTAAAATTACAAGCTTTCAAGAATTGTTTCATCTTCCTCAAAAATATTATAATTTCATTCCACTAGCAAAGAAACATTAATCCCAACAGAAAAATCAATTTGAATACATGCAGATTGGAAAAACTTTAATTAATTGCGAACAGAAACACGAGAGGCATCCACATTTTTTCCATGAAATCCGAAGACAAATCGAACAGAATTTACAATGTTCAAGTGCTGCTCCCCAGGTTGTACTCAAAAATACCTTCACAAAGTGTTCTCTTAAATATTATCAACTTTGATACAGTGGCCACCAGAAATCAGTGCGTCATGTTGTGCAGTACATGTGCACGTATCTGTCTGCTGGAGCAGTTCCACGAAGATGACCAAAAGCTGTCTAAAATTCTAAAAGCCATGTTGCTGGTCAAATACTCAGCACCCTTTGAGAGTTATTGCGTTTTTTTTTTAAAAACTGTTGTCCAAATGCCAATCAGCTGCCATGCATTCCATCAGTTCCAAACTAGCTTCTCCAAATGATAGCTCACAGAGAATGGAGTTTTCTGCACCATCCTGCAGTACAGTGTATAATGCAGAAGCTTAGAAAACCTATTATTTTAAAAAATAAAGAATATGAAATGGGATGTTGCCAGTGAGAAGAATTTAATTGTCATCAAGATAAACACCATGTTTTGCTGGGGGTGGTGCCTTCAGATTGTATGCCTTCCTAAACCCACCCAACTTCAAGACTTGTTAAAATTGACCAAGATGAATATAGTATAGTAATGAGAATAAAACCAAGATTTACAATGTATAATGCAAATGGAATATTTGTGGTTACTTTCAAAGAATTTTTTGGAAATAAATTGAGATTTGACTAAGAACTCATGCTGCATGATTTGATTTCATCAGCAAGTAACCCAGAAGTCTTAATGAGAAACATGCCAAACTAAACCACATTAACCACTAAATTAATCAAATCGTTTAATGATGGTATATCAATTTTCTAACAGAAAGAAAGAATGTTGAACTTGAAAGCACAAATTTAAAATGCTGAGCCTTACTGTAGAAAACCAAATCGATCAGTGATTTTATAAATATGGAAGTCTGCATCTTCCCATGGGTCAATCTTCGCTCCTTCTTGTCCCTGAAATAAACAAACAAACAAAAAGTAATCATTAAAGCTGTCGTGGTTTGATTCAATCAATTTTGAGCTGATGACAAAGCTAAATGCTTGTATCTATTAATTTATTACAAATTCAATTTGGGACCAAAACAGCAATGCCCTTGCCATCTTCAACTCCCTCAGTTCAAAAGATAAATGGGTCAGAAATGTGAGAAATTTCTATTCTGACATTTTGCATTTGAAACGTAGGGCTGAGAATGACGTGCTACAGTTGATCTCAGCCCGACCTCCAGGTTTTCCACTCCCAACTGTGGGCTAATGACCTCTGCCAGAAGAATGCAAATATTTATACAAAGGACAAATGCCTAGACATTGCTTAGTATCTTGGAACAGCAGTTTGCAGCAACACCATTCAGCATATTATACCTCTGTTGCTTTATTTTGCCAGAGAATCCAAACCAGTCTCACTCTCTTCTCAAATCTTTCTCTGTTTAAAATTTATTTTAACCAATTTAATTTTTAATGCAATTAATTTTATCTTTCTCCAACGGTTTCTATTTCAACACTAGATTTTTAAATTATCAGCTGTCAACAATAGCTACCCAGTCTGAAGACATAGTGCGAAAAAGGGAACACTACTTCCATAATTCTAAGAGTATCTTCATTAAATCTTCTCTTTGCCTTTTCTGTTCAAAGTAGAAACAATGCTCATCTCTCCATTCTTTCTTCATAACTACATAACTTTTTCTACACCATTCCACCAAATTCCTATGAATTCCAACAAATGCTGCATAATTCAGCAACCAAAACTGAACACACCATTATGTGATCACATTAACATTTACACAATAAAGTATTCCTTCCTTGCTCTTGCACTTTGTGCTCATTTACGTAAATTTCATTTAATAGTTTTCTCTGTCTACAGATATTGTCAGGGAATTATGTATTTGAAACTCTAGGTCTCTGTTCAACCACACCATTTACTGTATATGTACATTTATGTTTCTTTTATTCTCCCAGCATATGTTAACTTTGCACTTAATTATATTAAATTGTATTGGTCACCTGTACGTCCATTTCAAAAATTATAAGGATTCTGACAAAATTAAGGAAAATACTCATGAAAAGTTTGACCATTAAATACATATCTAACTCCTGAGTTACTCTTTAACATACACTATACTTAATTCACACACCCCAACTACATCTCCACCAGACCCTCCACCATTTGGCACCCTACCCTCCAGCACTTGAACATTGCATTTAACAGCTGTCAGGGTCTTTATATTTCAGAATACAGCAGCTCACTGCTAGGAAAAGGATGTGCAACTTACCTTCCTCTGACAGTTCTGCACAAATGAAAGAATTGTCAAAATGGAAGTACTGCATTTCTGAGACAGGCCCGAGAGGAATCTCCTTGCAGAAATTTGGAACTTCCTTCTTTAGTATAAAAGATGGGCCAGAGTGGCAATCTGCGTGAGATTGCCGTTCTTTAGACAATCTTGTTCTTTATGTCAGTCAGCAACAAATTTTGAAGCACCAATAAAGTTTGAAATCACATTTCCTAAACTCAAGAGCAATGATTTATGTGAAGAACATAAGTAGATCCCAACAATGTAGGGCTCAACTCCTGTTCCGTCTGAACAAAACCCATAGGATATGAAGAGTTGCAGCCAATTTGACAAGAAAAACTTTCAACTTCTGTGGCTACATAAAAATGAGTTTTCCAACAAGCTTTGAGATGTAACTTGTCAATATCCATTGAAAGTGGAAAGTGGTCACTTCTTCAGTTTGTCCACAATCAATTTCAAATCAAATCATCTTTTAGTTATTCAGTTCATCCTTCAATCTCTTCTTAAGCACACGTTACATCAGTTATCACCTAGATTTCCAGAGCAATTTGTACAACTGAAAATTGAAAAATAATCAATCAGAGTCTCTAATCTTATTACAGACATAGTCCCTAAATGTTTCAAGACCACCAACATCCTGAAGCCAAGGAAAACTCATGCAGCGTACTTCAATGACTACTGCCCAGTGGCTCTGACCTCCATAATTATGAAGTGCTTCAAGAGGTTAGTCACGGCACACATCAACTCTAGCCTCCCAGCCTGCCTTGATCCCTTGCAATTCACCTACTGTGGCAACTAGTCCACAGCAGATGTCACCTTCCCTGCCCTACGCTCATCCCTGAAACATATGAATAACAAGGACACCTACATCAGGCTCCTACTTATGAACTTCAGCGCCACTTTCGACACCACACTTCCAATCAAACTAATCTCCAGACTTCCAGACCTAGGTCTCTGCTCCATCCTCTGCAATGGATCCTAAGCTTCCTAACCCACAGATTGCAATCAGTGAGAATAGGCAACAACCCTCCTCCAAGGTAATTCTCAACACCGGCGCCTCTCAAGGCTGCTTACTCAGCCCCTTACTTTACTCCCTGCACACTCAAGACTGTGAGGCCAAATTTCATCTTAACTCCATCTATAAGTTCACTGATGACATCACCATTGTAGGCCAGATCTCAAACAATGATGAAACGGAATACAGGAAACAGACAGAGTGCTTAGTGGCATGTTGTAAAGGTAACAATCTCTCCCTCAACGTCAGCAAATTAAAAGAACTGATCATTGACTTCCGGAAGCAAAGTGGAGGGTATGTCCCTGTCTACATCAATGGTGCTGGGGTGGAGATGTCGAGAGCGTAAAGTTCCTAGCAGGGATGATCACCAACTATCTGTCCTGGTCCACATACATGCTACAGTTAGGAAACGCCTGTACTTCCTCAGGAAGCTAAGAAAATTCAGCATGTTCACAAAGACTCTTACCAATCTTTATAGATGCACCACAGACAGCATTCTACCCAGACGCATCATGGCTTCATAAGCCAACTGCTATGCCCAGGACTGTAAGAAACTACACAGAGCTGTGAACACAGCCCAGTTTATTATGCAAGCCAAACCTCTGTCCAAGATGGCGGCACCAGCAGCAAGTAGTGTTCGTGCTCCTGAACTCATCTGCTCCAGATGGCAGCATCCTTTTCTCTCTCTCTCCTTTTCGTCTTTCTTTCTTTATCTTCAAGGCCAGAGTGGTATCGGCGGGGCACCACCTGTAGCATGGCAGTGTGGATCAGGACTCCTGGCAGTAGTGGCAGTGTCACAACGGAAACTCCTGGCAGCTGTAGGCTCGGAGCAGGGACTCCTGGCTGCTGTCGGTTTGGAGCCTGCACTCTTGGTGGCAGCGATGGAGCATCAGCTGTGGTGGTGGAGATGCCTGAACTTTTGGAGGTGGCAGTGCCAAGGAGCAGGGATTCCTGGCTGCCATAGGTTCGGAGCCTGGACTCTTAGCAGTGGCGGTGCCCAGAAAGGGGACTCCTGGTGCGGTAGGCCCAGAGTGGGGACTCTTGGCAGTGTTGGCAAGGCGACTGCAGCAGCAGAACCTGTGTCTCCTTGGATATCAACTTCATCATTGCTGTACTCAGAGCGGGGACTCCTTGAGGCCCAGAACACCTTGCAAAGACCTTGCAGAAGCCCTGGTGCAGTGCTTGAGATCCAATGTGAACAGAAAATGAACTCTAAGTAATTCTTTTTGTAACTCAAAATGGTGCCAGATTGTAGTGACAAAACACTTTTCACTGTATCCTCCTAGATATATGTGATAATAAAATTCATTTATTGACTCCATCTATACTTGTCACTGCCTTGGGAAGGCAGCCAACACAATCAAAAGACCCCTCCCATCCCAGATATAATCTCTCCCAACTTCTTCCCTCGGGCAGAAGATACAGAAGCTTAAACACGTACCAACAGATTCATGAACAGCTTCTTCCCCACTGTTATCAGACTTCTGAATGGACGCTCAAGTTTTAATTTTAAAGTTAAATGTTTATCTCGCTCTGTGTGCGCCTTCCCCGTAGCCAGAGCACACTATTTTTCGCTGTGTTCTATTATGCTAATGCACCTTGTATGGTTTGATCTACCTGTACTGCATGCAAAACAAAAAAAAAAAAAAACTTTTCACTATACCTAGGTACAGGTAACAATAACAAACCAAATCAAAAAATTTCAACATTAGTGGGCCCAGTGATTTGTCCATTTTGAAATCTGCTAACTTTTCCTGAATACATTTCCTTTTTAAATTGAACATTATCATTCTATCTTATGTTGTTACCTGACAGGTCAGATTCCAGATTAAAATGTGGTTTGATAGGTGATAATTTATTTAGCGAGGTGGTCTTCCACTGCATGAAAAATATGAAATGCTACATATTTGTTTTTAACAGTAAAACACAAGCTTATTATGCAAAAGAAAAGCTAAAATACAATCAACCAAGATATTTAGATACAGTAAAAATACAAATGTGTCTATCCCAACACCATCACTTCACCATCTTCAAATTGTATAGTTAGTATTAATTTCATGATTTGCAGCCTTTAAATCTCATTTAAATTGTATTAATTACCTATTAACCGTCACACTTGCATGCATCCCATCTTACATTAGAGGAATATGTTAAATCGACAGTTTATGTATCCACTACGCTCATACTTTTGAGCTCTTTGGAATTTCATTCGAAGATTTTTTGCAGATGATCCACTATGTACATGCCAGCAGTTTCTTTTGCCCCGTCAGTTTGAGCCACACCCCCATTCATTTCATTGTACATCGCCATTTCCAATTTAAAATGCTAATGTCTAGCATTTCTTTCTTATCCTTATCTACCTAAAAGCTCTCAGTTCAATTTCCCATGTGTTCTGATTCTCACATCACTTACTGGTCTTACTTAATGTGTCCCAGTCTAAATACAACTCCTCTGTCCTTGTTTGACTGTAAACAAGCTGACAGCATTCCTATTCATATACTAGAGCCAAGAGAGTCAACTGCCATGGAGATAAGCTTTGAAAGCGGAAGAATTAGAACATGAGAGTGAGTGTGCGAGGCAACAAGAGCAAGCGAGCAAGTGTGTAAGCATATAGAGGAGAACAAGCATGAGAGAGTGAACGAAAGCATGCAGGA